TTATTTTTTTTTTACATGGTACCAGCAAAATATCAGCGCTGCAGATAATTTATTTATTTATTTATAAAAGACACACCAACAATATGCTCACAATAATTAAGTAGACAATATACAATGTTATTAGTAAGTACAAGAGAAAAACTACTATTACAAAATGCTTAAATCTAAGTTTGAACAAAAAAATCTTACTCCTCACTACCAAGCTTAAGGCTATATGAACATATCAATTAAAGGTGTATACAGCTCTCACAGATAAGCTTCAATGTACACTAACTAACAATTATACAATTAGAAAGACCTAACTACCAATCCATATTATTAATAAGTCTAGTAAACTGCACAAAAGAATTACCAAAGATGTCGATATCATGGTCAACGTTTACGGCTTTATTATACGATGATAACATTCTGTTGAGGGGAGAATTGGATCCTAAGTTAACTATTTTAGCAGATCTAATATTGAAATTACGTGGTACTATCAAGCGTATATCCTTAAGAACATCAGGCATCAAAATAAGGCCATTTAAAATCTTGAATAACATTATAGGATCTATAATCTTTCTACGCTGACTCAGTAACTTCATCCCGAAGAATTCCAGACGATCAGTATAAGATGCAGTTATTGGACATAATTTATCTTTATAAGCCAAGTAACGTGTGAAACTTCTTTGCACTCTCTCAATACGATCGATATGACATTGATATTGGGGATTCCATATCAGAGAAGCATATTCAAGTGTACTGTGGACGTATGCGTTATAGAGTATTTTTAATGTCCTAACACCTCTAAATTCTTTACAAGTTCGTTTAAGAAATCCGAGCATTTTATTGGCTTTCTTAACTATATTATCAATATGTCCATTAAGTGATAGTTTTGAATCCAGTATCACTCCCAAGTCTCTTACATTAGCCACCTCCTCAATGCACTCATTCAATAATTTATATTTTGTGGGTATTATATTAACATTTCGAGTAAATTTTATATGATAACATTTAGAAAAATTCAGAACCATAATATTAGCATCACACCACTCTTGTACCGATTGAAGGTCTTGTTGTAAAAGATCAGAGTCCTCTGACACTGATATGGACTTATATAATTTAAGATCATCGGCGAAAAGGGAGAATTTACTATATTTTATAACCTCGACGATGTCATTTACAAAGACCAGGAACAAAATCGAACCCAAATGTGATCCTTGGGGTACTCCTGATACGGATTTGTAAGGAAGAGATGTAAAAAAGCCTTTGACTACGACTCTCAACTCTCTATTGTCTAAGTAGGACTCAAACCAACGAAGTAATAATCCGCAGCTAAAAGCGGAGTTAGTAACCTTTTCACCGGTGCGACACATAAAACCATCTTTAAATTTTTATTTTGGTTATAAATTATAAATCATGTGCTTGTGAATAAAAAAAAATCTATCTATCTATCTACATATGAGTGTCGCGTGCTGCGAATACTTTAATATGTTCTAGCACAGATACTAGTAGGCACGAGTTATATCATCGCGCACATTATAACAGAAGGTTATTTGGTGGTGGTGGCATCCTTATCTTCAGCGATGTTATTGAAGTACAACGAACGGTCACAATGACCGCGAGCTACTTCACGCATTGTTGTTAAGTTAAAAAAAAATAACTCAACCTCAGTCCTCAGGAATAGCATCGTATGAAGGGTATCATGGGCAATACAATATACTCTGTTATGCCCATGGTACTGTTCATGTTACCACTTTCCATCAGATGGGCCGTAAGCTTGTTTGTCATTCTAAGTTGCAAAAAAAGACAGTGAGCAGAGTTCAATGTCCATAACATTATTATAGCCATTAAACATTTCACAAGTATGCGCGCAAGCGATGCGGTCCTACAAGGTTGTGCGAAATTCTGCAAAATGCTACAAACATGGTCAGCGCCACCTCCAAGTCAACTGACACCACATATCTAAAGTAAATATTTATTCCAGTGCGAAATTATCATTTGTGTGTATTTAACAGTACAACGCAACGGCGGCGCGGCGGCGGGCCAGTGTCAAAGCAGAGTCAATATTGGGAGCTCTTCACCTACAGCGGTCCCGGAAAATGCTTTCCTTGCATTTTATTTGTCATTTCAGCAATAACCTCATACAATTAACTAATAAAGATAACAACAAGAGATACAATTTAGAACACATGGCCCTGAATACTTTTTACCATGACTAATTATTTGAGGAAGACAAATGAATTATATGGTATTAATGAAGAATTATTGGTCTTCCATAGAGTTTTGAAGTCTCATTCATTTCAACGAATATTTAAAAAAAAAATACAGTAGAAAAATTTAAACGGTCTTTAAAAATCTTATTCAGTGTTAAAAATCTTGAATTTAGTATGGAAGGTCAAGAATAACTTACTAGTGTCTACAGTATTAAGTAAATAAGTTTTATAAAAACACCAACTTAAAATGTAATAGCATATTTTTGGGATTTGTAGATATATCCGAAAGAACACGTAGTGAGTTTACTAGAGGAAAACTTTGTACAAAAGTCGTTTGCTTTGGTACCTCTGTCCCATTCGTGTTTCTACCTTGAAGCAGTTGTGTTCGCATGGCTGTGTTTCGGGTTGAAGGGTGGGATATGGCAGTGAATTTATACGGTAGAGAGCAATAACATCTGAGTCCTCAGGAGACAGTATACTCTGCTATATCCATAATACTGCTCATGTCTATAAGCCACGGTTACCACTTTCCATCAGGTGAGTCGTCAGCTTGTTTGCCATTCTAAGTTGCATAAATGAAGTAAATTTGTATTGCAAAAATAAGGGCACCGACTAGAGGTCTTCCATTGATGATCGTTAGTAGAACAATACAATGAAAAATGTGTTAACATATCATCCTTGCAATAGGACTGTTTCTATAGCAATCTATTGAATAGATTTGGTTTGTCTTTAAATAAGTAAGCAGATAATATTTGAACACTTCCTCTCCGAGTAAGTTGCACTTATATTCTAAAATTTAATTTATTGAACTTTGCCATCTTGGTGCGAGTATGTCTAGAGGTTTTCCATTGATGATCGTTAGTAGAACAATACAATGAAAAATGTGTTAACATATCATCCTTGCAATAGGACTGTTTCTATAGCAATCTATTGAATAGATTTGGTTTGTCTTTAAATAAGTAAGCAGATAATATTTGAACACTTCCTCTCCGAGTAAGTTGCACTTATATTCTAAAATTTAATTTATTGAACTTTGCCATCTTGGTGCGAGTATGTACACAATCAACAAAAACTTGTACTTGTAGGTGAGTAATAAGTCGAGACATTTCCATGACATGGCGTGTTTCATATTACACCTTTATCAACATGCAAGATATTATCTTAAATACTTGTAATGGCTTATAATTTATTCGGTGTACAGCTAGTAAAAAGTGGTCGCATTTCGCGACGCTCGCGCGCCTCGCTCTATGATCGGAACTAATGAGCGCTTTTTTTTTTCTCAGACATGTATATTATATCCAAAGTGTAAACTATAATAGTATAGACTAATCTACATAAAACAAGCAGAGCTAATGACTGCGCTGTATTAAACATGTGAATTGGTCAAATGCTACGTAACAAGTAAATTTTGTGCAAATCATTCTACAAAACAAATAAAACTGGAAAAATAGTCGCATGTGTTTATAAAAAATAATATATTCGTAGGTCGATAAGAGGTATTCAGTATTACATTTTTGTTTATACATCATCTAGAATTACGAAATATATATATGTAAAGTAAAATATTTATTTAGTCTTGAGACTGGCTCACAGGCAGGTTGATACTCCTCTCTGCTAGCATGAATATGATCATTAATTCGAAAATGTCACTGTCAGCATACGTTAACTGCTTGTAATTATTTGGACAGGCTGGACCGCTCCCTCATATCGGTGAAGTGAGGCGACGATTTCACCATATCCATTGACATGATACATCAAGTATAGATTTTTTTTTTGTAATAAAATTTCTGAATATGATTTAATTACATATTAACCTGCTTAAATTTCACATAGGTTTGCTTAAATTAAATCTAGACTATAATTTGATGTAATCAGTGATTAAACCTTGTGCTATCTGTGTTGAAGTTAGCGAGTATCCTTTGAATCTGTCAATACCTTTGTGAACATTAGGTGACAAAATAATTTACGAGTTTGCTAACAATTTCTCTCTTATATACATTTATTTATTTATTTCTGTGGTACATCAACAGATTACAAACAATACTTTTAACTATGCATCTGTCAGTTATATACTTTTTTTTTTTTAAACAACATTATTTTTAAACTCGATCTCTCTACCTGGCCTTATTCCATTATTATATTATTATTATATTATTATATAGGGGTCGACTCTCTTCTTCAACCTTCGCCAGATACATCTCTCCTGGGTCATCAAGTAGTTTGCTTGAATCCGCTTCAGGTTACTGTTGTAATGAACTGCCAAGTCTTCCTTGCCTTTTCGGACGGGGATCAAGGATTAAAACTTCCTTATTCATGTGGTTCCGTAGTTGTCTCATAATGTGACCATGCCACCTCAGCCGTGTGGATCTTAAAGCTACTATAAATATAGTTTTTTTTCTCATTTTGTGTAGTAGGGCATCTCCTCCTGCCCATCTCAACATCTTCATCTGAGCTATGTTGGGACCCTATTCATGGAAAAGCATTCAGTTCCTTATATAAGGACGAGGTAGACTTCACGCAAACAAGTATTCATTTCAGTTCTGTCATCACAGCAACGTGGTGCAATGCACGCTATATTGCTAGCCATAGCGCTATGAGGCCCCATTACTCACAGTCCCCTTCCACCTTGAGGAGCCTTAATTAGAGCACACCTCTCTTCAATTCAGGAGTACTTATACCTAACTACTTACGTTGTAAGCCATTTACCAATACCACCGCTTCAATCACAATCAATGAATGAAGCAAAGGTAATAAAGTGAACTAGTTTCTTTTTTTTTTTTTTTTTTTTTTTTTATATTTACTTACCAGTCTTTTAATATGAATGTTATCCCACAACAATCTCGAGGAGCGATCGCCTGAGCGGCCGAGCGCTGCGCTCCGTAGTATCGCAAAGGCGACTTCACGCGTACAGAACTGTATCACAAGCTTTACTTCACTTACACACGATGCAAAAGTTGCAACGCGAAAAAAACATCGCGAAGCAGACGGCGCACAAAAGTATAGCTGTCACACAAACATAGTGCGATTCACCACTCGCTACTGTATTCCAATGAGATGATGTTGAAAATACTTATTGGAATCGGTCTCAATTGTCAGAAATAAAGTGTAATGGCACTCGGTGGTGCGCCGGCGTTGGAAATATCGGCAGGCGCGACGGCGACGCGGCGGATGCATGCGCGGGCGCAGACCGAGCTAAAACTGATCCGACCGGTGTGAAGTGGTGGCGCACGCACTGCGGCCGCGATCGTGACCGGCCACCGCCCGCGCCGCCCGCGCCCCCCGCGCCCCCCGCGGCCCCCACGGCCCCCGCGCACTCCGCGCGCCTACCGCCGGCCGCAGCGCGCCCGCAGCGCGGCTCACTTCGCGCCTCTCTCTCTGCCTCTGCTTACGATGCCTACACTACACTACACAGTACAGGTAAGTACATATAACTTACGTCACGACAAGCATTACATTATAGCATAGCTTAAGAAATTATAACTCGAGCACAAAACGAACATTAATTCGAATGAAATTTAACGAAAAGAACGCAGAGCACAGAACGACGTCTACATCCAAGTAGGCTTAATAATAATTATGTTTGTTTCGGACTTTCTTAGTCCGTTAAATATTTACAAGTAACAATATTCTTAAAACTAATATTAATAAATTTACACACACATATACAGTGAACGCTCTATATAAGCAACTCATTTGATTAAATTTCAATAAAAGGAAAAGTTACTTATAGCACTATATGGGAAAAAGGAGTATAAAAATTTATAAATATTAAATAAATAATATATATATATATATATATATATATATATATATATATATATATATATATATATATATATATATATATATTATTTTGTAGAATAGATCATTACAAAAGTAAGAGTAGAACTCTTGACGATCATAGGTATCTTATCAGGTTCAGATATATGATTTTATAAAAAAAAAAAAATAAAAAACTATTCAATATTTCGTTCCGTCTTAATTAGCTTTGTGTAAAAGTTGAAATTTTCTTTTATATAGAATAACTTGCAGGAATTTAGCCGGCTTAATAGCCTCTAAAAATTAGGTCAGGGTTGCTACCTGCTCTTTAGATCAACATTATTTTAGATTCAATAGTTGTAGTACATAATTAGATAGAATCGATTTTATCCACAACTTGCGCGGGCGATGCTTTGTACATCCATCAAAAGTAGCTTATGTATTGATCCAGACTATAAACTACCTGTGTGCCAAATTTTATTAAAATATTTTTTTTTTTTTTTTTTTATTTTTTTTTTTTTTTTTTTTTTTTTTTTTTTTTTTTTTTTTTTTTTTTTTTTTTTTTTTTTTTTTTTTTTTTTTATTTTTATTTTTTTTTTTTTATGACTAAGCATTGAAATATACATACCGCTTCAATATTTTTTTTTTTTTAGAATAGAATAGAAACATTTATTGCCATACAATTACAATATCAAATATAAATAACATATACAAAAGTGTCCCATACTAGGCAAAAGGAACCGGCTCAGCTTATGCTGTGAGTGTCCCAACGCAATGTGAACAGCTGCACAGCGCTGGTTTTCAGCCAGTCACTCTCTTAACAAAACAACCAAAGTGCAGGGTACCACTGTAAATTACTTCTTACAAAAATTATTTCTCAATACTAATTAAAAAAAAAAAAAGAAAGAAGTTTTTATTTGTATACAGATCGTTCCAAATTTTAGCCGCGAAGAACTTAAAGCTTCCTCTGTTTGTCGACTTCCTATGTGTAGGTAATGATAACCCGCTGCCACTCTTGCTACGTGTATTAAGAGGATGTAAATCTCTCATCCAGGTGAGTTTGTTATATAGATACTCTGGTTGCAAGGCATGGCACGGCACGGCACTCCAGGCATGCAAGATGTTTTTTTTTTTTTTTTTTTTTTTTTTTTTATTTTTTTTTTTATTATTTAAATTCGTGTTCGCCTCGGAATATTGTAGCAGAAACGTTGCACAAACGCATGCGTTTTGAACCCGTTGCACGGAGTGAGCGGTTCGCGCTAGAAGTCTAGGCCCATACACTGTGTCACAGTAGTTGAAATGTGACAAAACCAGTGTTTCTACAAGTGTCACTCTTACTTTTTTTTCTGACAGGCAGTCCCTCAACCCATAAAGCACTTTCAGTTTATAAAAAGCATATTTTTTTTTTTTTTTTTTTTTTTTTTATTTTCATATTTACATGTTCCTCGTACCGCAAAGCGCTATCCATCATGAGCCCAAGATTCTTTACAATACTCACTCTTTCCACTGGTTGGCTATCTATCACAATATTAGGATTGTGTTTTACCACCAAGTCACACTGGTGTCGGGGACCCAGCACTATATATTGCTATTACTTAGGATTCAAAATCAGATTGTTTGTTACACGCCGCCCACTTAAATAATTTTATCAAGGTCCTTGTTAATTAGTTCGATGGCCTTGTCAATGTCATTTGCAAAAAATGAGAAGTACAACTGTGTGTCATCACCATATAAATGTACCTTACAGTTTTCCACTTGTTTGTGCAAATCTGCAGTGTACAATATGAACAATAACGGACTGATGATAGAGCCTTGAGGCGTCCCTCTGTCGATTTTTTTTTTTTTTTTTTTTTTTTTTTTTTTATTTTTGACTGTGCATCTTCCCCTTGCGCTCCCTCTATTATTACATATTGTTTACAATTTTTCAGATACGACTTAAACCACGCCAAAGTACCTGTGGAAATACCGTAGTAAGACATTTTTAACAGTAACAACTCTGTATTTAAACAGTCAATGCCCTGGTGAAGTCTAGTAATACTAAAACAGTACACAAGCCCGCGTCAGTTGCTGTAATTATGTCATCAGTGACATGCGCTAATGCTGTATCTGTTCCGCATCCATTTCGAAAACCCGATTGTATAATAGGCAGTATTTTTTTTTTTTTTTTTTTTTTTTTTTTTTTTTCATTTTCTAAATAATTGGTCAGTTGCGTACGCACTGCACTTTCAATAATTTTGAACATGACCGGGAGAATACTAATAGAGCGTAGATCTTTGCAATCCTCTATTGTTTTGCCTTTCGGTAACGGTCTAATCTTTGTTAATTTCCACTGATCAGGAAATTTTTTTTTTTTTTTTTTTTTTTTTTTTTTTTTTTTTTTTTTTTTTTTTTTATCGAGGTGTTTATGATAGTAGTTATTACCGGAAGGATATTTGGCAAAGTCATACGCAGCATTCCCGCCGTGATGTTATCGAAACCCGCTGCTTGTGTCTTAATGCCATTCAATATTTTTTTTTTTTTTTTTTTTTTTTTTTTTTTTTTTTTTTTTTTTTTTTTATTTAAAACCTCACTTTCGCTAATTTCTTTCAGATTAAATACAGCGTCGTCACTATTCTTATTATTACTGAAATATTGGTACGTATTAACATCAAGCACTGAACTTCCTGGCGTATTAAAAAAAAAAATAGTCATTAATATCATCCGGGTTTCTCAGGTTTATAGGTAAGTCAGGCACACTTGTATTTCATAGAGATGAATTGCGTTTTATGTAGGTCCACAATTTTTTTTTTTTTTTTTTTTTTTTTTTTTTTTTTTTTTTTTTTTTTTTTTTTCCTTTTAATCTTTATTTTAAAGTTAAAACAAGTTGCTCAAATTGTGTTGAGACAGTACCGTCAGGAGTGTTTGCGCTGAATTGCTGCTGGTGGTCATCATATCGATGTTAAAGTCACTTAGAATTACAAGATGGTCACAATATGAAAATGTGCTTACCGAGTCGCTCAGTGCATCCACCGCCTTCAGTACCGAGGTCGCCTGTTCTGTATATAGTTCCTATGGCGATTCGTATCCCACCGGGTAAAGAGACCTCCAGCCACGTCTGTTCCAATTTCGACAGTGGATGCGAACGCATCTGTAAACGGAGGTCCCGTCGTATATAAAAGCCCACTCCTCCTCCTCTCTTGCTATTTGGCCGAGGTGTATGTTTAAATATGTATCCCGATATAACCGGCGCTCCAGATGTCTCTCTATTTGTTATCCAAGTTTCATTTAATGCTAATATATCCGGACTATACCTCTCCACAGAGTATATCAGTTCATCCTTACCGGTATTAAGTGACCTTACATTCAGGCGTCCCAGTATTAAACATTTTCGTTTATCCATCTTCAATAATAAGTGTATAAACTCTATTTATAACTTCACTGTAATTAAGTATGTGATCCTCAACTCAACAAATTATGTGGAAAATAGCGCGAAGAAAAAGCGAACACACCAACCTTTAAAGTCGCCGACTCGCCCAATCCGGCGTCAGAATATTAGCCGTCGGTAAGCGAGATCTCTAAAGAGACGTCGCATACCGCCGTTGCCCGGGGTGCACCGTCCCCAACCATAGTCAGCCACCGTTCCCGCCGGGCGAATCCACCAGGACAAGTAACCATTAGGTAATGATTAGCACGTGCGTTGCTAAGTACCTATATGACTCCCTCTGTAGCAAAGCGTACATTTGCTGCCATATCTTGTGATGTATGGTTGCTGAGGCTGTCATGAAACAGGAACGGGTGTAGCAGTAGGACTTGTACTCGTCGTATTTGAAACTGTGTAGTCTTCTGAGTCTTCGTAGATGTAGGCGGGCTTGAGACAATCTAATGATACAACGGTCGTGCGTAACGGTATCTTGTAATACTTGTCATAGTGCCGTAGTATTTCGTAAGGGCTATATGAGTCTGGTCAAGCCTAATCACAAACAGTCCACGGGCATTTTCAAACTACTACACATTTACACCTACTTTATTACGCAATAGATGGTAAAACTAATAATTATAATAATTTACACCTATTCCACAATAGATGGCGCCCATAACAACAATTTACACTTCCACATATTCCACAGCAGATGGCGCCCTAAATCGACAATACAGCAGATGGCGCCCTAAAACTACAATACAGCTATTACACAATAGATGGCGAGACAAACAATCTAAAAGGCGATATCGAGATTTCTCTCACGTTCAACATATTCCCGATAGACCATCCACTACCTACGGTTTAGGTTAGGTTAGGTTAGGTTAGGTTTTTTTTTTTTTTTTTTTTTTTTTTTTTTTTTTTTTTTTTTTTTTTTTTTTTTTTTTTATTTTCATTGGTTCGCAGTGGTATGATATTCTAACATATGCGGTGATGTTCGCTAATTTGTCATCTATGTGTTTGCGCTGATGTCGACGGAAGGGAGAGCTTCCGCTATTAGATACGTGAGCTTCTCCCACCGTGGACGTTTGCTAATGAATGTG